TCTTCTCCCCTCCCCTCTCCTCTCCCCCTTTACCCCTCCCATCTTTCTCTCTCTCCCCCTTTTTTCTCTCCCCTCCTCCTCTTTCTCTCCCTTCCCTTCCTCTCTCCCCTCCCAGGTGCAGCAGGCAGCGGTGGTCAGCCCGAGTGGTCAAGTGGTGGCGGGTCAAACATGGACTCCCTTGAGCTGCCCACCTCTTGGGACAACGTGATGAACATCCCCATCGACGTGGACGAGCTGCTGGGCGTGGAGAACCTCCCCGCGAAGGAGCAACAGCAACAACAGATGCAGCTCAAGGCGGCTGCGGACGGCGGCAGGATGATGGGTCTGGTCGGCGTCGGGGCGGACGGCGATTCGATGGTGGGCGGGTCGCCGGGGGGTCAGTACCCTCCGAACAACCAGATGTCGCCCCCGATGGTGTGCCCGGGGAGACGGGCTGGTCAGTCAGCCGGTCAGCATCAGCCGCAGCACCAGCAGGTTATGGCTTCTCCGCAGCAGGGAGCTGCTGTGATGCAGCAGACGTCGACCGGGCTCCCTCCGGTCAGGTCTCTGCGACCGGCGCCTGGCGTCCTCCACGGTCAGTTTGTCCAGCAGCAGCATCAGATGGTACAACAACAGCAACAGCAGATGGTACAGCAGCAACAGCAGCTGGTACAACAGCAACAGCAAACCTTCCAGCAGCAGCAGCAGCAGCAGCAGCAGCAGTATCTAAACGCCCTGCCCATCGCCAACAGGGGCGGGAAACTCCAGCAGTACGTGGCCCAGCAGCACCAGCAGGTGTTGCAGACGCAGCAGCAGCAGCAGCAGCGCAACTCCTTCAACAGCAGCGGCAGTGGTGATGCTGTTGTAACGACGGCGGCCGGTGGCGGCCAGAAGGCGTACATAGCCAACCTGGACGACCCGGGTTACGCCAGCGATCTGAGCCCGGCTCACGACTCGTCCTCCTCCCCCACGCCCAGTCCGGCCTCCGTAATGACGGCGTCCCCCGCCCCATCCGGCGCCTCCCCGCCGCGACCCAATTACTCACCGCCGCCATCCAACATGTCCGTCATGTCCGCAGATTCAGGCCTCACCGCGGACGACATGGTACGTTGTATTTTTGTGGGACTTGTTTCTTCTCCTCCTCTTCCCTTCGCTTGTGGGACCCCTCTCCTCCCTTTCCTTCCCTTCCCCTACTCTATCTTTCTCTCTCTCTCTCTCTCTCTCTCTCTCTCTCTCTCTCTCTCTCTCTCTCTCTCTCTCTCTCTTATTTTCGAACAGACACACGCGCCCACACAAGC